TTCCTTGGCACACAACAATTGCAGACAACAACCATAGACTTCCAAAATGGTAGGAGAGATTGTTCATTCTGCTTGAGAGCAGAAATTTGATGTTAGTATTCAAACTCAACAACAGCAACTTGCACGTATATAGCGCCCCTCACACGAGGTAGTGTCCCGGAGCGCTTGACGGTGGTGGAGGCTGACAATGAGCCAGGGGGATAGGGAATGGGGAGGTGACCGTAAGCACGATCAAAAAGGAAGGTCTTTAGGTGAGATTTGAAGGCGGGTAGGGAGAGAGCAAGGCAGAGGGATTGAGGTAGAGCATTCCAGAGCGGTGTCGAGGTGTGGTAGAGTGGGGGGTAAGCAGGTCAGATAGGTAGGGAGGTGCGAAGGAATCAAGTGATTTGAAAACAAGTGAGAGGATCTTGAAGTCAATCTGTATGGTGATTGTGAGCCAGTGGAGTCTGGGAAGGTCTCGAGCTCACTCAACATTCAAAAACTCACTTTATGTACAATGCTTACAGCTTGAAGAGGGTAACTTTCCTTTGGTCTGGGTTAACTCACTGGGCTAACTTGCTGTGATATGTAATTGTTTTGCCCATTAAACATTATTTCCCACAACTATCTTTCATTTTTTTAATATCATGCCCTGGGTAGTAGGTATGTGACCTCAATATTCTACCAACAGAATTCTGAAATCCTGCACAAGAGTGACTCAGGGTCACTTCTCTCTCTTGACAAGTTCCTGGTGTCGCTTCATGCTGGCAAGGCTAAAGATTGGCAAATGAATGATTGCAAACAAGAACCAGAACCCTTTTGTTACATATTGGGGCTCGTACATTGCCTTTCATGATGTTACATTTTAAACCAGCGAGCTTTGTAAATGCACCCTTATTATTTAATAAGAAGGCTTGATAATTGATTTTGGATACAAATAGCTTGGCAGTTGACTCAAGTTTAGAAATCCAATGAGCTAAACAACTTCCTGGTTATTTTCATTCTATAGAATTTCTGCTCCTAACATGAGATATCCATATTATCTGGAACCAAATAATTCAGTTTTTAATTCAGCTTCTGAAACGATCAGGGCTTGTTGAGAGGATGATGCACCCCACAACATTTCTCAACGTTTTGTGCCATGACATTAATTCTGATAGATTTATCTTTCCTGTTGACCAGGATGTTGTGCATATTGGCTGTTGTAAACTGGTCATTTGCTCAATTATGTCCAATTGTAAGCTTGCCTTGAGGTTTTTTGAATCATGGATTTGGTTTTTTGATGTTGATCGCTTTTGAGTGTCAAATAGTGCAATTGGTAAAGCTGGTCTGCGAAGCGCTTCTATAAGATTGTGGAACTTATTTTATGTACCAATTCTTGGATGTTGTCCAGCGCCTTGGGACATCCTCCCGACGTGAAAGGTGTTCTATAAACGGAATCTTGTTGTTGTTGTTTATTTCTCAAAGTTTAAATTTTTTTTTTAAATCCCTGATAAAAGGGGGAAGGAAGCAAGGTTTAACCAAAAGCAGTGAAAAAAGATTGAAGGCAGGGAGGTTGGTAGCAAAGTGAAGAGTTCCATCGGACAGGTGCATGATAACAAAAGCTTGGCCATTAATGGAGATTGAGCGAGCAATAGATCAGTCGGATTAGCAGACAAGCTAAATATAATCTGACTACAAGCAGCCAGTAAAATCTGTCAGCGAATGGGTAAATACAAATATAAAGTCTCATGTCTCTGCAAAAAGGTCTCTAGAAAAATGATTATTTTAAAGGATTCTCTTTGCTAGGGACATGGATTGTTGGTATTATGTTGAATATTATCTCAGTGGTTTCCATGGTTTGCTTTTAGTATAATTAAAAGGTGAGCGGGACTAAGTACCAGTTATCTGATTTATAATGGAGTTTTAGAGCTCATGGATCTCTGCAAATGTTGCTGCTTTTTTATTTGCTGCTCGCTGGACACAAGCAACTGATGCATTTTATTCTCCTGGTAAATTGAGAGGGAACCAAAACTGCATAGTGTTTAATCACGTCAATAATGATATAATAATAATAATCTTTGCATTTGATATAGCGCTTTTCACGTCTTCTCGACGTCTCAAAGCGCTTCACAGAATAGACTGCAAAGTGAATTGACTGTATTTTTGTGGGCGAAGTCTCAAAGTGATTCACAAGTTATTACTGTCACCAACACAGTGCCACAAACAGCCATGAGGTGAATAACCAATTAATTTGATGAATTGCTGGCCATAATATCAGGATAAACTCTCTTCACGTTTTGAATTGTATAATCTGTAACATCCCGCAGAAAGAAAACAGATCGAACCCTATTTTCACATTGCCTCTGGAGTGCAGCACTCACTCCTCCAGTCCTGCCCCATGGTGTTGGACATCACTAAGCGTAGATCTTAAACCTAAAACTTGCTGATCCAAAGAAAGAAAGCATGACGCACATTATTTCACAGCAGTATTGTGTGATGCTGCCCTAACTGCCAGTTTTACGCAGATCAGCACTGGGATTACATTAACCTTTAGAATTAAAATTATAATTTATGGTATTTCGGGACTGCTGATTTCATAAATCAAGTATTTGCAATAGCAAGCCAATTTCTACACTTTCTGTTGATGATGAGCAAAGTGCAGATAATTGGACATCACTCAGAATACACATCAACAGCACTACAGGTACTAATTTAAACAAATTATTCCATCAGCAGTTATACTTTCACTAGTCACTGTGTGAACTCAGATCATTCAGACTCTGCCGCCTGCATACTGACCTGGACCAAACTCCGTCCCCACATCACACTAGTTCTGGCCCAGGCTCCACTGGCTCCCCATCACCAACTGGATCGACTTCAAGATCCTCACTCTCGTGTTCAAATCCCTTCACTCTCTGGCACCTCCCTCCATCTCCAACCTCCTCACTCCCCAATCCACCACCCGGCGCCTCAACTCAACTGGCCCCAGCTCCTGCTCGTCCCTCACACCCTCCATCCCACCATCGGAGGTCGCGCTTTCAGCCACTACGTCCTGAAACTCTGGAACGCTCTCCCTCAATCCCTCCGCCTTGCCCCTCCCATTTTTCAAGTCCCGCCTGAAAACCTTCCTCTTCGATTGTGCTTACAGCTCCCTCCCCAGCTCGGCTCAGAATCAGGCTCTGCCACTGTTGAGCGCTCTGAGCTACCCTCGCTGTATAAGTGCAAGTTGTTGAACTCTTTCCCTCTTTCTTTGAATCCAATCCTATACTGTACAAGACTTGCCTTTGCGTGCTCACGTAATTTAGAAAGTGCAAGTAACTTTCATGCCTGGTGATTTCCGACAACTTTAGGAGTCCTGTAGCTCAGTGGTTAGAGCACTCGCTTTGCAAATGAGAGACCTGAGTTCAATTCAAGGCAGAGGGCGAAACCTTGGGCAAGTTTCCTTACTCCACACAGTGCCTAATAATAATCCCTCCAAAACAAAAACAATAATAAATTGGTCATTTTCAATCTACGACTGTTTGTGGGACATTGCTGTGCGCAATTGGCTGCCACGTTCGCCCACAAATATACAGTCAATTCACTTTACAGTGTGTTCTGTGAAGCGCTTTGGGACGTCCTCCCGACGTGAAAAGCGCTATATCAAATGCAAGGTTTATTATTATTATACGTACAAAAAAATAGATTTTTTTTTGTGAACCACAAACCTGTATTCATTTCTGCATTTGACTCCAATGTAGACATAACCAGTTTTCTACAATATTTTGAACAAAGAAAGTTTGAACTGAGGGCATTGAAACTATGTCTGAAACTTCTTGATTCTTATCTTTTTATTGCTATTATGATTTTTCTTCCTTTGCATTTGTTTGCATGGGCTTTAAAGATAGTAGTGTTTGGGGGGAGTAAAGTAAGCAAAACAGATTGTGCTCTCTGCAGTCCTTAACAAAAGGTTTTGTGATTTGGGTAATGACTTGAATTCCACTTTGTCACTGGAATGTGAATGGGCAGCAACATCTCTGAGCTAAGCATTCATTGCAGACTTCAGTCTTGTGGAAGAGAAATGTGAAATGGGGGGCTGGGAATGCAAAGCCACATACAGAGATGAAATCCCGAAGTTTAATAAACAATCTTTTCCAATATACGTTACTTTCATCTCACTCCATGCCTGTGTTTTTTATTGTGATTTATTCCCCTAAGTTACAAAAATCTTGCCATTTCCTTTCTACTAAAATGACTCAAAAAAAACATTGAATTGAAAGTCTGATGTGTTCTTAATCGGCATGATGTTTAAGTTTGTAGATTAATCCTACCAGCTACATACATTAAAGTCCTGCAAACTAAAATCAACTCAAAAGCAGCTTTTCATTTTCTTTGTTAATTATGTAATGAAAATAATCCTTGCATTTGATATAGGGTCTTATCACGTGATTGAGGTGTCTCAAAGTGCTTCACATGATATCCTGTAAAATGGATTTTACAGTATATCATGTGAAGAACAAGTAACCATTATATTTTTTTCAAAAGCAGTTATATTTGCAACAGGTTTTAGAATACTTTTGTAGTCTATTTAATTGATTTTGATTTCCACTTCAAAATGGAGACCAAAACAGCAAAGCATTAATCTCATCAGGTTCACATTGACCAGATTTTTAAAATAATTCTAAGAAAAGAAGCCGAGTAATAGATTAACAGGTCCGGTTGTTCTTGAAAAAGATTTAACGAGGCTTATTGAAGGGACTTTTGTGTCTAGGAAGCACATGGTGAATTTTAACTTGATGCTATCCAGATATGTTGTTGTATGAGTTGTTGACCCTATCTGTTCTTGGAGTAGACAGATGGTTGGCCATTGCACAATATTGTATTGTAGTCATAATTTTTTATATTAATGTTTGAAGAGCATTCTTGATGTTGGTGATTTGCCATTTTTATGGCAGAATATCAAACTGTGTACATTGAATCTCAATACAGGAATGGCACAACTGAGAATTTTATATGCTTGACTGCAAACTAATTTGGTCAAATGTCCTATCTTTTGTCAGGATGAACGTGAAGCAAGAGAAAAAGTGAAACAAGAACAAGATGAAGCATACAGACTTTCTCTGGAAGCAGATCGAGCCAAGGTTTGTTCATGCCTTTTCACAGTGTTTAACGTGGCAACTAAGAATTAATGAGAAAATGGGTTTTTATATACATTTGATGGAAAAGAAAATATTTAGTGTTCTTCATCCATGGTTGTGTTGAAATCCTTTGAGCTTTGGTTGGCTAAATGGTTCACAGCTGAGCACAAATTCTGCCATCTTTTGATAACCAACGACGTATATTTTTGCAGCAGAGGCCGCAGCAGAGCGATTAAGAGACTGAAGGGAATTCTGGCCCAACTCTTCCTAACCTGGTGGCCCTTTAAGCTCCTCCATATTAATTAACTTTGTCATTAAAATGGTCATGATGGGAAACTGTGAACAGTGTCATGTTTTTTAAAAAAATTATCACTATAATAACTTTATAACTGGGCTGCCATCTATCTGAGATGTCTAATCTTACCAAATATGTTCAGCTTTTAAGGTCTATTTAGTATAATCGAAACTAAACTGGGCCGTGGAATGAGATAACCCAAATATACTGTTGCTGCTAGCTGTTTATAAAATTGTTCTTTAAAGTTCTTTAAAGAATTTAAGTTAATAAAGTCTCTTTATAAATTAGCGAGAGGCACAAGAAAAAGAAATAGCAGAACAGGTGCGTCAAGAACAGCTTCAAAAAGAACAAGAGGAAGAGCGGGAGGTAAGCTTTTTATCCTGCTACTGCTGTGGCTTTGAATTGATAATGAAGCATCTGAATGCTTGAACAAATCGTTTCAGCTGACTGTGTCACTGATGTTTTCTGAAAATTATTTGAGTAAGAGATAAGGCCTTCACAAAATTATACTTACACTTACACAGCGCCCTCCACGCAGGGCAGCATCTCAGAGCGCTTAACGGTGGTGGAGCCTGACTCTGAGCCGAGGTGGGAGCAGGAAGGTGACTGTAAGGATGGTGAAAGAGGAAGATTTTCAGGCGGGACTTGAAAGAGGGGAGAGCGTGGGCAAGGCGGAGGGGTTGAGGGAGAGTGTTCCAGAGTTTCAGGACGTAGTGGCTGAAAGCGCGACCTCCAATGGTGGAGCAGAGGGTGCAAGGGACGAGCAGGAGCCGGGGCCAGTCGAGCGGAGGCACCGGGTGATGGATTGGGGAGTGAGGAGGTTGGAGAGGGAGGGAGGTGCCAGAGAGTGAAGGGAAGTCGATCCGTTCAGCGATGGGGAGCCAGGGGAGCCTGGGCCAGAACTGGTGCGATGTGGGTACTGAGTTTAGTTCTGGTCAGTGTGTGGGCGGCAGAGTCTGAAGGAGCTGATCTTTTGAATAGTGGAGCTGGAAAGATCGGCGAGGAGTGGGTTGGAGTAATCCAGGCGGGAGCTGACAAACACATGCACGAGGGTTTCGGCTGCATTTGGGGTAAGGTACAGTCGGAGGTGGGCAATGTGGCGGAGATGGAAGAAGGCGGTCCTGATCAGGGACCGGATATGGGGGAGGAAGGACAGCTGGGAGTCGAACTGGACACCTAGATTGGGCACTGGTTCGGTGAGTCTGAGGGAGAGCCCAGGGAGGTTGAGGAGTTGAGATCTGCAGGAGTGAAGATGTTGATGGAAGCCAAGAAATATGGCTTCCGTCTTGTCCATATTCAGCTGCAGGAAGTTTACACTTATCCAGGCCCTGATGTCTGCCAGACAAACTGATAGAACATCGGGGGGACCTGGAGTTGGTACTGGAGGAGACAATACCATAATTAGGATTATTATTTGACAGATTGATCAAAACGAAACACATTTTGGAAAAAAACACATCTTGTCCATCTGTGACCAGGGCTCCCTTTGCCTCCTCGTCCTCCCTGCTGCCTTCAACACCATGAACCACTGCATCCTCCTCCACCTCAGCCTTCAAGGTCCTGTCCTTGAATGGTTCAGGTCTTCTCTCTCATATTGCCTCCTCACTTCAGGCACTGGCAGCATCCAGCATTCGCGATGCAAACTCCACCTCACCAAGCCAGTCAGGATTCTGGGATCTTGTTCGACCCTCAACTGTCCTTTCTTTCATATATCCATACCCACTCTGCCTTCCCCTACCTCCACAACATCGCCCGGCACCTCCACTGCCTCACCCCTAGGCCACAGGAACCCTCATCCATGCATTCATCACCTCAAGGCTCAACTATGGAAACTCCCTCCTTGTCAGCCTTCCCAACACTTCCCTTCACAAACTACAGATTATCCAGAACTCTGCAACTCGTGTCCTCTCCCGCACCAGGCTCCGTGACCCCATCATCCCAGCTCCCCTTCTCTCGAGAGGATAGAGTTCAAAATCCTCGTCCTCACTTTCAAGGCCTTCCAAGGCCTTTCCCCTTTCTACCTCTCTGACCTCCTGACCCTCATCAACCTGTCCACTCCAACCGCTCAGCTGGTTCTGGCCTGTCTCCCACCCGACCCGCCCTACCATTGGCGGCTGGGCTTTCAGCTTCTCTGCCCCTACACTTTGGAACTCCATCCCACAACCCCTTCCACTGGCTCCCTCTCTTGCCTCCTTCAAGGCACGACTCAAGACCCTCCTTTTTGACCCTGCCTTCAGCCGCCCTCCTACCTCTCTGCCCTCCCTCACCCCAACCCTGCCCCCACCACCATGCTCGGGTCCCAAAAATTCCCATTTTTCAGCGCCTTAGGATGTCAGCCCAACATGAAAGACGCTTTACACTTGTAATTTTGTTGTTGTTAAATTTGGTGCTGATTTGGGAACCTGATTTCTGTAGTTCCTTTGCAAAACTGTTATCTTCCAGTTTATAAATTTCACAGTATTCTTAAGGCTATAGCCATGATGGATTTTCGGGCACTGGAACCTTACCCTGCAGTCTCAGGTAGTAAAAGGGCAAAAATTGACAAAGAATTGTTTTCAAAGAGAAGGAAACTCAGGCTATTTGGTCTTCCAGAAATAAAGGGCAGGTGATCAATGTGTGCTTAGTGAATTATTTGGTTCAGGAAATACTATCAATAGAAAACAAATATCCTCATTAGTTATATCAGTCAGGTGCTTCTTTCTTCCACAATTGAATTAAACCAGTAGAAACTTTCTGACTTTCCATAGGTCGCTTTTCTTGCAAAAATGATCATGGGGAGAAAATAAATATCTGTTTTTAGTGAATCACAAATACAGGTCACAATCGTCATTTATGGCAAATTGAATGACGTGAGTTAAATGCAGACTTGATGCTGATGCTGTTTTGTGCAAATGAGCTGAATATTTTGTAAGTAATCAATTAAACTTTTGATGATGAATATTNAAAAAAAGTATGTGCCACAAACCTGTTTGGGCTTGATTTGAAATGTTTCCCATGGGCAATAATCATGAGAAACTACAGTATAATGGCACTTCTGGATCAAAATAAAATCATTCTGCTTAAAAAAACGATAGTAATATTCATGTTATTTTAGAAAAAATATAAAATGTAACGACTACTTACCAAAGATAGTTCATGATTTTTATGTAAACGGTGTGGCATTTTGTGAGTTGTTTGCAATGATTCTAACCCTCTCATCTTTTGTCTTTTGGCTCTATCTATCCTTGTGGGTGGATCGGGGGCAAGTTTTTGCCCGTGTAACTCTTGATTTCAAACTACTTTCTGTTGACTTCATTAACAAATAGAACATACTGTTCACTTTTGGCCTCTGAGCCTCAACCTTATGGATCTGGAAGTTATGATCTCCAGGTCTGTGATTGACTGTGAGTTCTGGCCATGTTCAGTGCTGGTAATAATGGAGGGAAGCTCACTCGAGAGCCAATGGACATGGGGAACAATGTGCTGTGCTTTACTGTGATGCCCACACAACTGAATGGCTCAACAGATGGAGAACGTAAAATTGATGGAAAAGGAAAAAGCAAGGCGTGTACCAAACAGGGAAAAAGCAGGAAGTGTTAATAAAACAATAAATAAGCTCATTGTAGAAGAATCAATACAGTATTAAGCAATCTCAAGTATTTTTCATTACTGGTTTTCTTTTATAATAAAGCTCCATGTAACTAAGAATATTTGAATTTTAATTCATTTTTTTAAAAAAATGATTAAATGAACTTGGTCTTTCTTATAAAATGTTTTGATCCATTTTAGCTTTTACCTTAAATTCACCTAACAGTAGTGTCATAAAGATATCTTTATTTTTGAATGTCTTTGTAATTATAGCTTCAGGTTTTCCTTTGTGATGAGATTTTTAATTAGTTTTCTCTAAAGCTGAGTGTGATAAGTCATGTCTAATGTTTTCATGAAGGAATTTTAGATAATGTTTTAACGTGGATTTCCTGAAGAGCACTAGACTCAACAATTAATATTAAATACAGAAAATGTACTACTGCTAATAATAATCCTGGCATTTGATATAGCGCCTTATCACATCTTCTAGATGTCTCAAAGTGCTTCACAGCATATACTGTAATGTGAATTGACTGTATATTTGTGGGTGAAACAGAGTAGCCAATTACGCACAGCAGCTCCCCGCAAACAGTCACGGATTGAGTGACCAAATTTTTCTTATTTTTTGAAGATTACTCCCCAAAAAGTGATCCACCAATCAATTAACAACTGGGTTCTTCCTTACTGCTAGGTAAACAGAGGTGTATGCAGTAAGGAAACTGGTCTAAAGTTTTGCCCTGCCCAGAAATCAAACGCAGGTCTTCTCGCTTGTGAGGCGAGTGCTCTAACCACTGAGCTACAGGACTAACTAATTCATCAGTTATTAACATTTGCACCACGTGGTTCATGGAAACCTTATCAGAGGCCACGTCATAAGAGAATCGCCAAAAACTGGCCGACTTGCGGATTATCAGATTGCGGCTGATGTCACTTCCTACACTGCACAATCGCACAGAAACCCTGACAATCCTGAAGTCGGATATATTTCTTTTAGGTCAGGAATCCAGCTGCTCAGTGAGGGAAATGGGTTTTACAGGGTTCCTGGTTAGTACAGGACCACAGGACACTCACTATAATCAAGGCAGTGAATTTCCCTGGAGACTATAAACCGGGTTCCCCTGTATAATAATGACTGGGTGGTGGGGGGGGGGGGGGTGCGGGGAGGGAGTGGTGTTAAACTTCTGAACTATACGATTATCTGATTTGAGCCAAGCTTCTACAAATCAATTTGTGCTCCTATTTGCTATTCAGCATCTCTGTGTGTGTGGGTATATTTTATGTATTATATATATATTACAGTATTTCATTGATTGAGTTAAAAATGTACAAACACATCAAAGATCCTTCAAAGATCAGTTTAGGGGTTAATGTATTGCGCTATTTTCTATTTCTTTTGCAAAAAGAAAGGAACAGAAAACATAATTGGATTGTTCTTTAGAGACCTAAGGGAAGCTAATGATTGTTATATTTATGTGTGTTTAGTTAGATGCACCAGAAATCACAATGTCATGGACTTCTATAAGCTGTTCCTGAAGATGTATTTAGCTCAAATTTTCTGTGTAACTGGCTTTTTTATTTACAATATATAAATAAAAGAAAGGCAATGTAATCTGAGATATTTACTTTCAGAAATAGACTTTGAAAAGCACTGTTGTTCACCGCTGCTTGTTTTTTTTTGTATGGACCTCGCAGACAATTCTTATTTCTTTAACAATAATATTCACTTACGTGCAACCTCTGCTCAGATACTCATTTTTAGATACAGCTGTAGATATTCTATTCAGGAATAAAGCCCCCATCATTTTGCGTATTTTGTAGCTAAATAGATATTTGTTCAGCTTTGGTATTTGTTCTATCTCGTATTATTAACATTCTAATTGTTTTGAGATGAACAAAGTTGTACCCTTTGTAATGCAATCTTCTTTGTGAACTGGCATAGTACTGGAAGCCCAGAAAGAATACAACAACAACAAATTAAATGATATACAACAGATTGTATAGAACCTTTCATGTTGGAAGGACATCCCATGAATAACATAGAGCTTGCTCTATGTCCTGTAGCTCAGTGGTTAGAGCCTCGCAAGCGAGAGACCCGGGTTCTATTCCCAGTAGGGTGAAACGTTGGGCAAGTTTCCTTGCTCCCAGTGCCTTTGTTTACCTAGCAGTAAGTAGGAACCCGGTTGTTAGTTGATTGGTGAATCGCTTTTTAAATCATTTCCTTTAATTAAAAAAAATAATTTGGTCGCTCAATCCACGACTGTTTGTGGGACACTGTTTGTGCAATTGGCTGCTGTGTTACACCCACAAAATATAGTCAATTCACTGTAGTCAATTCACTATGTTTTTTGAAGCGCTTTGAGACATCTCGAAGATATGATAAGGTGCCATATCAAATGCAAGGATTGTATTATTATTATGTATCAGGACAGTCCCTTAATGAGATGCTGAGCCAGTTTATACCTAGAAAAGATTGTTCTGTTTCAGCAAGTTAAAAGCTTTGTGCTATCAGTGTTCTGTAGCAAAAGTAAAACTATCAGGTGGCAGGAATAGAGCTGGAATAGGGCAATGACTCCCCATTGAACATTTTACCCAATTTCAAAAACCGTATAATTCTCCAACCATAAAATGTCTTCGAAAAGTTTATTTCTAACAGCTCTTTGAAAGATCGTATCCTACACTTTGTATATTACAATATTGGTGTGGCTAAACCAAATAAAATCACTTGTTTTTAGTATTGCTTTATACTTTGCAAAGACATGAGAAGTTTTTCAGTGATGTATTGTAAATTGTTCTGGAATATGTAACCATGTACCACGAATTGTGGCATAATCATTTTTATCTTGAATAGATTGAAGAAAGACCCATTCCATTATTGTTTTACTTCCTGCCAGTCAGAGTAGAAAGGATAAATTTGACCTGAGATCCAATGTGTTTGAGAGGCTCATTCAGGTTTGTTCTTTCTTTATTTGCCTAGGCTATTAGGTTATCCCTCGAGCAGTCATTACCTGCAGAGCCAAAGGAGGAGAGCACCGAACCTGTCAGCAAACTACGCATTAGAACGCCACGTGGGGAATTCTTTGAACGACGTTTCTTAGCAAGCAATAGGCTTCAAGTTGTCTTTGATTTTGTGGCTTCCAAAGGCTTTCCAAAGGAAGAATACAAACTGCTTAGCACCTTTCCCAGAAGAGACGTAAGTGCTCTTTCCTCATATCCTCTTTACATTAGTGTGCTGCACTTTTTTTTGAAGGTGTGCTTCAACTTGGAAATGTTTATAACCGTGCTACAAGATTTTAATTGCAAATACATTAAATGTTTCACATTTCCATTTTTTCAAAATACTTTGAATTACACATTACACTACATAACAGTGTTGTACGATTTTCTACACTACATAATAAGCCTTTGAAATAGTATTTTGCATAAACATTAATGATTTACTAATGAGGATAATGAAAAGAAAATCAGTATTCTCAAAAATTCCACCCATGTCAGACTTATTGGCACCTGTCGCGTGAACTCTTACAAGCTTAGCCTCCTAATTCTTTCTGCAGTGTAAACTCATACATAAAACAAAACAAAATTCCTTTGGACTTTGACCAACATTTTGATCTGCACTGGTACGTTTCTTTGTTTACAATAAAAGGCTGCCACATGGCTGGCTGTGGGATCTGAAGTCGATATGTGACCGATATAACTAGCGAAGCCGGCTAGCTTTTAAGTCAGTGAAATATTCATGAGGAGAATTCTAAACATTATTTGCAGAATATAATGCAGCAATTTTTTTTAAAGGAACTTCATTAAAGTAAGTTACAGAGCAGTTTAACATTGACTTAGTTGACATCCTATATTGCAGGAGTGGCAGACACTCAAGTGGTCACCAAATCGTGGAAATAAATTTATATCCCATTGAAGATCCAGTGCGTGGAATCAAATTCAGTTTGTACTCATTATGTAGTATCCCCTTATTGATGCCTTTCTNAAAAAAAATCAGATTTTTATTTGTTTTTTTATTTGTTTCAGGGGCTAACTGTGTCAGCACAGCTCTGACCCCACAGGAAACTTCCCTGCATATTCTCAGAGCTGCTTCCTCTTCTCCATTCTCTGCTGCCTGACAGCAACAGCACCAGTGCAGTTACTATTTTGATAGCAGTTGGGTTAGAATAGCCCTTCAAGGAGTAAAATGAGTACCAGTGAGGCTGAAATGGCTGCAAGAATAATCACTTACGATGTTAGAAACGTTTTTTTAATCAGAAATCACTGCTCTGTCGTGTAAATAATATTTTGATTATTAATAACTAGGATGTGAGAGCTCCAACTTTCACCGTGGTGGTTTATCATGTGTTCTAAAGCTCTCAGTTAGAAACGACTAAACTATCTATTATATATATTTAATACAATTAAAATACAAACTAAAATACAAAATACACAGCCAATCCACTGTACAGTATATTCTGTGAAGTGCTTTAAGGTGTCTCAACGATGTGATAATACGCTATATTTAATGCAAGTAATATTATTGATGTTTGAGGATCAAATGAAAAGTTTCAAAACATAAATATATACATTGTAGTGATTGATCATGTAATGGCTACACGATCATTAATTGAATTACACCCCTATTCTTTCCTGATCATCTCTTAATATTGGAACTTGTTAGGTTTTATATTATTTGGTGGTTTGGGCACAAACTAACATTTTGCTGCCTCTCACACAATTGCATTAATACCTCATCATAGATCCGCCCAGGGACAGGATTATTTTATGATAAACACACAATGACTTCATTTAAAGAATGATGAATCGTTGACACTGTGGATCAATATAAAAATACCCCTTGTAAGGAACAAAATATATTAGTAGAGAACATCTACCTCAAATTGCTCTGTAAATGTATTATTAAATCTGCCAAAGCCTCATGTAATATGGAAGTGGCCGTCTATATTTAATGTGAGTTGCCACAAGCCGAACCGCAGTGAGGAGAAAATAAGGCAAGTAATTTAACTCCAATTTCATTTTGAATTTTTAATGCATGTTTACTTAGTGGGTTCATTAATGGTCTATTTATATCAAAGTCATATTTAAAGTCTACCTTAAATGACTTTATTATATGTGCCATTTAAAGCCACCAGATCTGCACATGAAATGAAGAGACCATGCCTCACTCCATCAGCAAATGAGGTTATAAACAAATGGGAGAGAAAAAGGCATTTCTGCTGTTTTGTTAGCTGAATTAATTTTAGTTGCCTGTTAATGCTGAGAATTGATGTTTTACTTATCAGTATTGACCTGTGTTTCTTTTTTTCTTCACGGACTTATGCAGATATATTATTACTATTATTTATTTACAAATGAATACTTACATGTCATTAACCTAAAAAATGTCATCTCCTCACAATTGCAATTCAGCCTCCTGATAGGCAATAGGCTCAATGTTAAATAGTGATGGACTGATCTTAGGTTCTTGGAACCAAAACAAGGTTGCGCTGGTTTTCATCATCGATGGTGTTGCTAGGAGTCCTGGAGCTCAGTGGTTAGAGCACTCGCCTTGCAAGCAAGAGAACACAGTTCGATTCCTAGCAGGGAGAAATGTTGGGGGGCAAGTTTCCTTACTCCTCACGCCTCTGTTTACCTAGCAGTCATCGGGAACCTGATTGTTAGTCGATTAGCGGATCGCTTTTTCGGGGGTAATAATTCCTTTTAAAAAATAATAAATTATTTGGTCACTCAATCCACGAGTGTTGTGGGACACTGCTGTGTGAAATTGGCTGCCATGTTTCGCCCACAAAATATACAGTCAATTCACTTACAGTATATTCTGTGAAGCGCTTTGAGACGTCTTGAAAAAGTGAAAAGGCGAATATCAAATGCAAGGATTATTATTATTTTAGTAAATATCCATGGTTATTAATGCCAAATAAATTACTAACTCAAATTACCAAATTCCCAAGTTTAAATTAGGTTAATTTGACAAGGAGCTGTATCAGATTTTTTAAAGAACCTGTTGTGTAGATATCTCGGTATGTATATAGTTTTTTATTGTAATACATCCCACTGAAATTCTTAAGATGTTAAGGCAGTTTGCTTTGTGTTCAGCTTTATCATAAAATAAATTACCATGACTGCACCCTATCTGTAATAATCTGGAAAAATTGATGCAATAATACATTATACATTATATTGTACAGATAACTAAAGTCGCAGTAGGTTGACATTTACAAAGTGATATCCTGATAATGGGATATTTTAAGGGTGGGCGAAGCTAATATATAAAAAAACTAAGATCACGGAAAGTTTATTTACACTAGACCAGCTTGGCATGTTAATTAAGCATACAGACAAGCCAGATGCATAGAGATGCCTTGGAGCGAAGCAAAACAACAGCTTTGTTTGTTGACAGATGCGAGAGTGTTATTGTCTGTTAATTGGATAATGGAGTAAACATTTGCAAACTGTGCCATCCTTGGTGAATTCAGTGCTTGAAGGGCAACAAGAGGCATGATCTCTGTGTATGACTAAATGTGTATTTTTCCTCTCAAACTATTACCCAACCAATAAGGTAAATACTTTGTAATATCAAGCTACCAGTAACATTTTTAACTGGCACTAAGGGGCCTGAAGAGCTTTAACAAAGATGCATATTAGAGTATTGTGCTTGAATGCATCCTAGTTTATCTGGTTACAGTCTAGTGAACAGTGTTCATTAGAGAGCACCAGGGCTCGCAGTCATTGTTACCAGATGTAGGTATAGATCTCTATGCACCTGCCTCCGGTCATCCTTGCTCATTTCATATTTGAGCTTTCTTTAGGGATTTGAAAAGAACTGCTATCTAATTAGATGTGACCCTGAAGATCAAAGCTGAGCTGAGTTGAAGCTGGAAATTTATCTTACTCTAGTGCACTTGCACAGAGATTTACAATGTCTCGCTGTAATACCATAACTGCACTGTATACTTTTGTGCAATTGACTGTACCAGATAGATTCTACAGTGAAAAAAGCAGCAGGTAGTATACGAGGTACCATTTACTCCACCTTTATCACAATAAAAATTAAGGCCTTTTTAAGTACATAAGGTAGCTGTATTATGCAGTATTGTTTTTTCTATGTAGATTGCTATTATGGATAAAATTTCAATACTGTCACTAGAAATGACCAAGCTTCATTAATAATTGTTTGAGGAAAAACACAGGAACATATAACGATACAGTTTAAAATAGTTTTTGCTGATGCAGCATAATAGAGGTATAAGTCTAAACATTAACACCAGTATTCATGGCTTCTGACTGTCTGTAAAACCCTTTTCTGATTTACAATAATCCTTGCGTTTGGTATAGAGCCCTATCACGTATTCGTGGAGTCCTGTAGCTCAGTGGTTAGAGCACTTGCTTTGCAAGCGAAATACCTGGGTTTGATTCCCGGCAAGGCAAAACCTTGGGCAAGTTTCCTTACTCCACACGCCTGATAATACGACTCAAGAAAAAAAAAATTTGGTCACTCAATCCACAACTGTTTATAGGATGCTGCTGTGTGCAATTAGCCCACAAAATATACAGTCAATTCACTTTACAGTATATACTGTGAAGCGCTGTAAGACGTCTAGAAAATGTGAAAACCGCTATATCAAAAGCAAGGATTATTATTAATATCACGTCTTCGAGATGTCTCAAAGTGCTTCACAGAATATACTGTAAAGATAGCTGACTGTATTTCATAGGCAAAACACTGCAGCCAATTGCGGCAGCCAGCAGTGTCCCACAAATAGTTGTGGATTGAGTGACCAATTTATCATTTTTTTTTAAGGCATTATTACCCCCAGAAAAGCGATCTAGCAAAGATCTAGCAAATGGGTTCCTACGTATCGCTAGGTAATTATAAAAATAATCAAAATAGTTGTACGCTTTATGATGTGATCTTTGAAAAAGTACAGAACTAAGAGGCATTTTAGTTTCTAAAACTATCAAGTTCTATTGCACCTGCACTGAACGTACAGTTGTTGATGCTGTGTCCAATTTAAATCCAGTACTACAAAATAAAGCGCTTTTTGGATTTAAATCCAATGGCGTGTGGAGTAGGGAAACTTGACCAATGTTTTACCCTGCCGGGAATCAAACCCAGGTCTCTCGCTTGCTAGGCGAGTGCTTTAAATAATAAGCACTTTATTTTATAGTACTGGATCTCTAGGTCAAACATCAAAACGTACAAGTATTTTGATTATTTTTATAATCAGCCATTAATTCAATGATCGCCTACATTTATAAACTTTTTTTTAAAGCTACTTAGATTTCAAATTTGGTCTTTTTTGAAAGCTTCAACCCATTACATATCTTGTTCATTCCTTTTAAACACAGTGGAATTGCTAAGATAAAGAATTTGAGAAAAGATTACACTGTATTCCTAAATCCTTTAATCTTATTGACAGTCTTATTGACTAAAATACAAAAATCTAATGCAGCCTAGAAACTTTGCATATGGTGTTACATGTTTCTTCAGTAAACTTGGGCTTAAAAAGCAAGCTTTTGCATTGTTGAGGTATGCCTCATTAAAATTTGTATCCTTGAACAGAACTGTGGCATGAAAGACTGACATGAATTCATACTTTTCAACGGATATTAATTGTTTTGTTGATCTCCCACCTGTTTCAATGCTGAACTAAAGGAATTTTTCTCTTAATAAACCACGATGACCCCTTCACCAGCCCAATGCACTTGTACAATAGTTCCTGTTAGGGCATTACGCTCTGGTTGTTATGGAGCAGTGTTTAAGTGTTACTTTCATTTGTTACTTTATTGATAATTTTTCAGAACTTTGTTAAAACTTTCCATTTCACGTTTTGTGGGTTCTTAATGGAAAGGCACGGAAATGTAATTCCTCTTTCCTTTCTGGTCTCCTCCACTGCACCCGAGGTCAGTTCGCACACAATAGACAATCACATGAGCCTGCTGCTGTACAGTTTCACATTGAGCACCTATCTCTAGGTCAGTTTCATGTGATTAATCTATGTTTTTACCATGCTGGGTGCTTGCCTTGCACATGTGCCTTTTTTCTCACCTGCTGACAACATGGTTCTGTGTCTGTTGCACTGTTACTAATAATTGCCTTTGATGCAAGGTGGTGTTTAAAGGTCGTTCTTTCACTTCCTGAGGTGGCATTTTCTGCTCTGTAATAATTTACACATTCTGCTAAGCAGCAAAGGTAAAAGTGTTCCATAAATAAATGTTTTCACTAACTAAGCAAGGATCGCTGTAATGTCACTGGGCACATGGATTACAATGGGGGTAGAGAAAACAACATTGCAAGGAAAATTCTGAAGTTTTGAGCTTGGTCTCACTATGAGACTTAGACTTCCTATTGATCTAATCAAACTTTCTCCTCTCTCTTCAGGTGAGTCAATTTGATGCAACTGAAACAATAATGGAGGTGAAACTCTATCCTCAGGAAACGCTTTTCCTAGAAGCAAAGGAGTAACTCCATCCAGGGGACTCTGGCTTCCCAGATAGTTGATAAAAGCTCAGCTTATATCTAAAAGCTGCAAGATTCACCTGTATTTTGTCCAGCCAGATGCCACAACTATCTGCCTCTTCCAGACCCCCTGCCCCCCCACCCCCAATCAACATCACCTGTAAAATGCCTGTGTGCTGCCAACCTCGCAAGAAATTTAGATGTTTACAAAGATCTGTAGGAGGACAGCAATCTGTGATGAACACTGACTTACACTCTACACACTATTCTGGCCTATGTTTATTCATCAATGCACTATTCAGAGGTGAAGTGAATTATATTAGTTAGAGTTGGTTTCTCTGTACCCGTTCAGCCTCAACCTGTATTACAATTCAACCATTTTCTGGAGCAAGTGCTTTGATTTGAATTCTGTATTTGTTTGTTTAAATTCAATACATACTTGAGACTTTGCTTATAAATGTGCATAATTCCATGTCTGGATTTCTACATAAAGCCTAATTTATGATGTCACAGTAGGTATGGCGTCATTATTAGCCATTGAAATGGAACAGTATTATTTGGAAAATGAATGATTCCTTTCCTACTTGATTCTCTTTCTTGATTTTCTTGTTTGGTTTAATGTAGAGGAATATAATTTGTAGCATATATTTATATATTGATTACTACTTCAGTGGCTTATTGAAATTATTTTGTCCGAATGCTTTGTGCTGCTTTTTTTCCCCGAATTTTGATGAAGACAGAGAGAAATACATAGTTGGAGGTTTAAATTGTTCTCGGAATAGGACAATAAATTTACACAGAAAAAAGGCCATTACAGACTATTCTGCCTCAAAACACAATTTGTGTAAGTAGGATTTTATGTCTCGTACATTGCGTCGAACCCATAGTGGAGGTTTTCCTCTTATACTGTACAAATGTAATTTTATAATGTGTTTATTTCAAATGGTTGACTCCTATTTCGTTACCAATATAGATAGCTGGACAACAATTGCATCTGTCACACCTAGACATCTGCGAAAACCTTAATTGGGTCTAAACTTGGGAAGGTATTCTCCAGTGGAGAATGTATATTGAATATTCACAAGAGGGTGTCAAGTGGTAAATGAAGCAAGGTATCCATTCAGCAAAGGTTCACTATTGTGTGAAATGCTATTGGAGAACACACTAAAACTAATAATTGCTGTTTGAAGAAAAATACACCTACAAGGTAAAACAATTTTGTAACATTCATTTCCCTAATTAAATTCATAGTTATGTGGACCATCAAAGTTAAATAAGCTTAATATTGAATGAGATTTATCACACAAACTGCGTCCTGTAGCTCAGCAACTGTGGTTAGAGCAATCACCTCGCAAGCAAGAGACCTGGGTTCGATTCCCAGCAGGGCGAAACATTGAGCAAGTTTCTTTGCTCCACACGCCTCTGTTTACTAGTTTACTAGTAGGATCCCGGTTGTTAGTCAATTGATCGCTTTTCTGGGAATAATAATTCCTTCAAAAAAAATTGGTCACTCAATCCAGGACTGTTTGTGGGACGCTGCTGTGCGCAATTGGCTGCTGTGTTTCACCCACAAAATACAGTCAATTCACTTAACAGTATATTCTACAAAGCGCTTTGAGACAACTAGAAGATGTGAAAAGCGCTATATCAAATGCCAGGATTATTATTATAATCTATTGGAGTATAGGCTTGTTAGTTATTTGCCAACTATTACCACTTTAAGAGAAGAATCTGTATGTCACTGGGTCTTGGTATACCTGCAAGCCAACATCCTGATGAGTGTCAGCTGTACAGGCATTACCAAATGTACCAGTGTGACCTGTTAATTGACCTCTTTTAAAAGCGAACTGTATCTTTTGGGCAGAAATATTCCAAGTCTGTTTTTAATTGTTTCTGAATGATACCACATTTATTATTACAATAACTGGATAATGAACATCTAAAACATTGTAGATACTCGCAGGTAAGTGTCATCGCCAAGGGTTATTGTCTAAGCAGTTACAATATGAAAGGTCACTGATATTGTCCTCAACAATCATTTTGTGTGTCAAGCTTCATGACAATGTGGTAATATCAGGGAGTTCATGTTCCTGGATCTCAGGGTATCAGCTATTCCTGGTGAAAATTATTCAACTGGTCCATTGATTAGTTCATAATTTCTCTTTAATCCCATTTGCTCCTGGATTAAGAGGCCATTTGAGGGCTGTTACTCTGCACTAGGCTTCTTTGGTTTAGAAATTAACATTTCCATGTGATAGACTCACCTTAAGTGATGTTTTGGGAGTGATTGACTAGTGGTATATAGAGGAGAATGGTAAGATTACATTTCAATGATAAAGCATTGTAATTCTGTGAACAATTTCTCCCCTTGAGAGGCTCAAAGTTCCAGGCAAGTAATCCAATCATAGACCAACTGCCATGGGAAGAAGTCGTCCACATTTCTGAAAAAAACAAACCCAGCACAAAATCCCAGCTCTCCTTCAGATGAGATGTCAAACTGGAACCTGTTGCCTGTTCAGGGGGACATTAATAATCCCATTATTAGAACAGTTTCTCCCGGTGTCTTGGCCAAACCATCCTCCATATAAATTAATCATTCACTTCCTAGCTATTTAAATGAAGATAGTCCTTGCATTTGATATAGTGCTTGATCTTCTTGTTGAGATGCATTTCACAAGATATACTTTAAATTTGAGCGAGTACAAACGCAGGAGGCAATTTGCTCACAGCATTTTATTTGGGGCCAGGACATTGGGAGAATGTGCCATGGGATCTGTCATGTCCACCTTGACAGGCAAACAAACTCGGTTTAATCTCTCATTTAAAGAATAATACCTATGATCATGCTTCACGCACCCAGCACTGAATTAACGCCAGCATAAACTATAGGAGTTCCAAGTCCCAATCTGGGACATGAACCCACAACTTTTGACGATGAGGTAAGAGTGCTACCAAATGAGTCAAGCTGACAAGTAATATGTAATTTGTGGGACATTGCTGTGTGCAAATTGACTGTTGCATTTGCTTACAAAATGGTCAGTACACTTCACAAATTTTGTGAAATGCTTTGACATGTTGGATGTTGTTAGTTCTGTATCAAATGCAAAGATTATTCTAATGTTTGCACTTCGAGCTATTTTGGTTCTGTTCCTGCCGATGTCTGTAAAGAGCAAAGTTTAGTAGTTTTTGTTTTGTAAGAGAATAATGAGGACTTGTTGATGAAATTGTCAAGACCCTGGTTTGGAGAGGGCTAATTATCAGATGATTATGGTAATCTTAGGACTTTTTAAAAAGTATTTAATGTTTTTCTCTCTTTAGATTTACTTTATTTTAACTACGCTTTGACTATTCTGGTGGGTGCTAATTCCTTTGAAGAACAGGGAGTTTTTGAAGAACTAATGATCATAGAGAATACATAAATTTGACTATAATCCTACAGGCAAGAAACACAAATTAGAGCGTGAAACAATAGAGGAAACCTGTGACAGACCAATTTCAGTTATGTAAATCCGATAGGCAATTTGTTAAAATATCCTGTGTGTGAAGTATAGGGTGAATTGCCGTTGAAAACATTGACTTACATGGACTCATTGGCTTGTTCATGCATGAGAATATAATCAGTACAAGATCCCACACTTCTGCTTATGGCTCTGAAGAGAAATTGTAGTGCAATTGCAAGGCTAAGTACGCAAATCCAAAGCAAAAGGTTCATTGAAAATAAAAAGGTAAGTGTTTTGCAAAATTAATAGTCTTGATATTTTTATTTCTGCATTTTATTTTAAACTGCTGCCATATGCTAATGTGAGAAATATTTTAGCACAACTGGAAGGATATTGTTTTCACTGTTTGTCATTATGCCTTTGATCTCCATTTGGCTTCCCAGAGAGCAATGGAGTATTAGAAGCAGGCAGCCTTTCTGGTTTAATTTCTGACTTGGTCATTAGTGCCTCTACCCTGTGAGATCAGATGCATTTATAGCCTCTCCAACTATGTCACAAAGAAACCAACTGCTTTCATTTGCTGAATTTCTTTTTGACAATTTGTATAACAATTTTTTTTAAAATGTTGAATTTAATGAGAGATTATAAAGTGTCAGATGGATGTGCGAAGTCTTCAACCATTACATGGGAGTTTTGCACTTTATTTATTCCTAAGAGTTATATACAATACCACATAGTTAAGAAGTTAAAATATCTACAAAATAAATGTTCAGTGGTAAAGTTCTGGGCTTTAACTTTCACATACAATCTAAAGGAATCAAAAGAAAATTTCCAACACAAAGGATTAGAAATCTTTTCCATTAACAATAATCGATCACTTAATCTTCAGATGTCCCTTAAAAATGCTAATGTGTAGAAGAATAAAATATCTACGTGCAAATCTGATTCACCAGCTCCCTTTCTATATGTATAGCCAGCACAGACCTAACAAAAACTAGGTTATCTGATGAACTTGGCTCAAGATACAACAAATAAAATAAATTATACTGTGTGTAAATATGCATAAAGTATATATGGAGAGTGGTAAGATGCCCAGTAAAGCAATTCTTACCACAGATCCAATGCCATACAACCGGTCATTTGCTTTTTTCAAAACCAAAATAGTTTTGGTATCCTGTAGCTCAGTGGTTAGAGCACTCGCCTCGCAAGCGAGAGACCTGGGTTCGATTCCCGGGCAGGGTGAAAATTTCGGCAAGTTTCCTTACTCCACACGCCTGTTAACCTAGCAGTAAGTAGGAACCTGGTTGTCAGTCGATTGGCTAATCGCTTTCCAGGGGTAATAATTCTTTAAAAAAATAATAAATTGGTCACTTCAATCCGTGACTGTTTGTGGGACGCTGCTGTGTGCAATGGGCTGCCATGTTTTGCTCACAAAATATACAGTCAATTCACTTTACAATATATTTTGTGAAACACTTTGAGACGTCTCGGAGCCATGATAAGGCGCTATATCAAATGCAAGGATTATTATATAGCCCAGTTACCTAGTAGATGCATGTGTCTAATTTCTCCATTTCTAGCAGTAAGATTGAGCCTATTTTTTTGTCTTGTGAATATATTATTCCATTGATATAGTCTGCCAGTTACAAGACCAGTCAATCTAAATTGGCATTGGGGGAGGGGAGGGTGTGGCAGGTGATGGCACAGACACTGATAATCTAGTAGTGATCTAACTGGATGCAGGAAGCTTTTCTCACAGGTCTGCAGCCCTGGATCCTTCCTCAATATTATGTTTGCAAGTTCTAAACACAGTTAGTTATAAGAAGCTCAAATGGTAAAATTTCAATGAGATGCCATCAACAAGCTTCTTCACTCTCTCAACCCCTGGCTCAGCGACATAATAAACTACACATTAGGTGTTTTATCATAATAAAAAGACTAAGGGATAGAAGCTAAAACTTTTTTCAATGCTCTTATCAAGAACATGATCAAGATGAAGTCATTGCATTTTTTGCACCATTTCCTTTCTTGACCCTTAGACTATGTTCTACCAACTGGTCCTTTAAGCAG